TAGTTTGACTTCTTCCTTACCAATTTGGATGCCTTTGATTTCCCTTTCTTGCCTTATGGCCCTGGCTAGGATAAAATGAAGAAATTGAAGATTTCTTATCAACCGTTTTTTTCTTTTTTCCAACATAGAAAGTGTCCTTCCACATATAAACTTTTCCTTGACTTTTTACAATAATGACTAACACAGTATCTGTCCTGTAATTGACTCTTTTCAGTCAGCATAATATCCTCCAAGTTCTTCCACGATATGTGGTATTTCACAGATTCTACATTATTCTTTAGTGTTGCATAGTAGTCCATTGTTTGTATGTACCATAGTTTGGTTATCCATTCTTTTGTCGAGGAGCGCTTAGGTTGATTCCATCTCTTTGCTATTGTAAGTAATGCTGCAATGAACATGAGTTGTGCATGTATCTGTTCTTGTCCTGGCTCTCACTTTTTTAGGATTATACCTAAATGTAGTAATGGGATTCCTGGATCAAATGATATTTTTAATTCCAACTTTTTAAGGAATCACCATACTGATTTCCACAGTGGTTGTATCCTTTTACAGTCCCACCAGCAGTGTATGAGAGTCCCAGTCTCTGTACATCCTTGCCAAATTTGTTATTTTCTGTCTTGTTGAGCTGTTCTATTAGTGCTGGGTGAAATGGTATCTTCTTGTTTTTATTTGCATTTCTCTAATAGCTAATGATCATGAATGCTTCTTCATGTGTTGGCTGCCTGAACATCTTCTTTGGTGAAGTGTCTGTTATGTCTTCTGCCCATTTTTTTAATTGGATTGTTTGTCTTTTTGTTGTTGAGGCATTAGAGTTTTCTATAAATTTTAGAGATAAGTTGCTTGTCAGGTTGTTACTGCCGTATATTTCTTTTCCCAATCTGTAGATTCTCTTTTTACTATTTTGGAGAAGTCTTTGGAAGTACATAAAAAATTAATTTTTAAAAGGTTCCAATCATCTAGTTTATCTTCTGCTGTTGTACATTTTGGGTGATACTTGACAGTCTATTTATGGCATAAATTAGTGCCCTTAAATTTATCCCTATTTTTTCCTTGAGAAACTTTATAGTTTTAGGATTCAGTTCATACTGATTCTTTAATCCATCTGAAGTTAGTTTCTGTGTATGGTGTGAGCTATGGATCTTGTTTCATTTTTCTGGAAATGGAAAACCATTTTTGCGAGCACCCTTTGTTAAAGAGACTATCTCTTCCCCCATTTAATTGATTTTGGTCCTTTGTCCAAGATTAGCTGACCATAGGTCAATAAATCTATTTCTGGGTTCTCAATTCTATTCCACTGGTCTGTGTGTCTCTCATTGTGCCAAGCCAGGATGTTTTGACTACTGTGGTTATATAGCAGGTGTTGAGATCTGTGAGTGTGAGACCTACTTTGTTCTTCTTCAGTAGTGCTTTGCTTATCCGAGGTCTCTTTCCTTTCTATATGAAATTAGTGATTGGCTTTTCCATATGTTTAAAGAATGTTGATGGGATCTGG